TGTTTATTTTAATTTAAAAGATAGTGAGAGTCATGTCTAATACTTAAATTTAATTTTTTTTTATGTCTAACATTAAAGTTAAATTAATAATTTCTAACATTCATCACCGGCGTTAAAATTTAAAATGTATAATTTTAGTTACATATATGAAATTCTGTATGAACTAAATTTTTATTATTTGTTAATGAGATTTTTAGTAAATCGTTAGTGTAAAACACTATATTTGTTCTAGACATAGCTTATTTTTAAATATTCAAGAAAATTTGAAGTAGCAAATATGGACATAAATATTTTATTATAGTCTATTGGCACATTTCATTTGATGAAAACTTGATATAATAAATTACCGACTATATCACCAAAAATATTGTCCCCTAAAAGTTTAACCATTAATGAAATTATTTATAAAATTTAATTTTTTTCTTAGTGCTACGTGTTTTATATGTAAAAATAAAATATTCTACCAATATTGTAATAATTTCAACCTTTCTAATGTTATCTTAAAACTATTGTCACTCATTATGTCACTTGTGACACTACTAACTTAATTATTGGCAACAAGTATAAGAGACACAAACAACTTCAAATCAAATGTGTTACGTACTTTTAACACCATTTGCTTTTGTCATACTTTAATTCTTCCATATTATTAAAACTTATACATGTTTTACATATTTTTGTTATCCAAAACATTATATTTCTATTAAGAAATTGTTTCTTATAATTTTGGTTGATTTTTTTTTTTCTCTTTAAAGTATTAAGTTATGAAATACTATTATAAGCACACATTTCTATAAACATAGTATTGAATTAAAAAAACTCTCAATAATGATCAACAAGCCAACAGTCAGCATTATGGATAAAAGAATTAAGCTTAAGAGCGAATATGAGAAGGGAACACCAAAAGCCTAGCAATAAGTTTCAATCATGCTTTAAGCATCTAAAGTATGTGCGTATCAAGGGTACAAAGTGACGAAGAGTCAAACTTAACTTTAGGCAAAACTTAGGTTAAAAAATAATTAATTTTTTGTGTCATATGTGTACCAAGTTACAATAGGTATGTACTTAATAAATAGTACTCACATGCCTCTTCATTAGGTAAATGACCATTATAAAAAGTAGTGAGAAAAAATAAAAATTTTGTTGAAATGGAAAAAAAAAAAAAGGAAGGAAAACCTACAATGGATCATAGTTAATAGGGTCCCTTACATATTTTTTAGATCTACTTAATTTTGAGTCAATTAGTAGCGATATTTGATTAAATATGTTACTATTCACTTGAAATTACATAATTACAATTGTTCTTGACTATTATATATATGGAGATTTTTTTTATGATCTATCCATTCCAACTTGTATACCAAATTTGTGCTAAGGAGCTCTAATATTAATAGTATCAAGGTTACTAAAGTTTATAATGCAAGCAAAAATTAATGTGCATAATGGTGATTTCTTGATGTGGCGACTAATTTTAAAGATAGTAATATATTGGTGATGTCACTTAGGTAGTGACTAATTCTAAAGAAAATAATATCTTAAATTTTTATTTTATTTTTAGAATGATTATTATATCCCTATAATTTTTTATTATGCAATTTATTTCTTATTAGCTCGATAGCATGGTACAAGAGGGTTTTGGAGAGACACCTTTTGTGTTTCCTAACTTTCAAAGCTTTCTATCTTAGAAGAAGTTATAACTGGACTTTATCATGACAATTAGGATTCTTTGCATGAGGACCTAATTATATTTATTCTAATTATAGGGTACAAGCTAGGTAAAATTGTAAAAAAAAAAATAAGGTGTTAAGCATTGCTTGACAAAAAAATCTTGTTCTTAAATGGTTATTTTAGGTTTATTGGATTTGTTCACTTATCTAAGTGCTGTAAACTCCTAATTCATACATTTTTACGCAATACGACTACTAAGCAAACGATATATCTATTTTAAAAGTTAAAGTATAAATTAAAACAGAAAAGTATTTTTATACTCTAACTCTTTTAAATTTAGTGTTCTTAAACTGATGAAATATTGTTATATCATCATTATGGATTTTTAGTTGAACTAACATGTCTATTAGAGATAATTATATTTTTATATGTTTTTCTTGATCTATCATTTGCTAGACCAATATAGTTGGAGACACAAACTACTTCTTCTACTAAATAAATTGTTGTTTAGATTACATGTAATTATATATTTCACGAGCGTATTAAAGATATTAATTTAATTGTCACTTTGGTTATCATCATGTTACTCATAACACTCTTGATCTCAACATTCTTAGCAAGTCATAAGTTTAATATTTTTACAAAATCTCATCTTCATGATGAAGAGTTACTATTAAATCATTTTTAAAGATTTGAAATTCAAACAACTTGTCTATTGGAGATGATTATATGTTTTTATTAATTTATTATATAGAAGATTGATATAATTGGAAGCGCAAACCATTCTTCTATTATTCTTATATGTTTTGGTAATCAAAATATTGCCGAACTGTTTATAAATATGTCTTTCTCCAGTTTACTAAAGATATCAAATTAATTATTATTTTGGTTGTTATCATATTACACTTAACACTCTTAACATAGTCTCCATATTTTTCGTAAATTAGAGGTTGAGGCTGGTATTTTTACTAAAATTCATCTTCATGTCCGTTTTTGGGACTTAGGTTTCCAAATGCAAGTTGACACACCATTGTGATCTAGAGATGTTCACATTATAGGACATGTTTCCTAAATGAGACATGTACCAAGGTTTTTTCTTGTATTTATATATTTTTTTATATTGGTAGTTAACTTTTACAAATATATAACGATACTTTTGAATCCAATGTAGTATAATTCGAATTTCAGAAATATAACAATTATTGCAACCTATTTTGTCCTTTTTTTTTTTGTTTTGTTTTGCAATATGATATGAAAAGAAATCAATTGGAAAAATTGAGATATTTTTTTAAAAAGATTATTGTAACTATTAGTAATTAGCATCTTTACTAGGCATTGAGTCATTAACTTTTTGCTTTCGGCCTGTTAAAAGCGTAAGTAATTGTAAAGAATTATTACACTTGCATCAATAGATATTTCTTGCAATAAAGGTTTAACTTCTCTGTATTTTCTCTAATTAATTAACACTTTGCAGCGTCATAATTACTAAGTAATCCATAGATAATGATTTAAGTTTTTCATAAAGTATAATTCAAATGAATGGAAACTCATTTACTAGATTTTAATTACTTGAGTGTAAATCATATGTACATTTCAAAAACAATAAAGTTCGACATACATATATTAATTAGCCATATATATATATATTATTTGTTATATCTTCTAAAGAATATGTATATAGAGATGTTTAATTATAAGCAGATATGTCTTTCAAATTCAGGATGTGGTAAATGATTTGCATAGTAAAGGATTCCAAAACCTTTCAAAAATTAACTTGTACGAGCTATATATATATTTCAGAAAATTGAAACAAATTCAAGTTTTCCTAATGGCAAAAAACATTTTAATCTCTTCTAAATCGAAAAATAAATACTGGTTGGTTTTGATTTGATCAATCATTTTCTTTTAATAATATATGATTTACTTTTCGTTTAATATATAAAATTCTTTTTCCTACTTGCAAGCTGTTCTTTTAATTAAACCATTGTCATAATCAAGTTTAAGTGTTTAATTAAGGGAGAAAATGAAGAAAAAAGGATTAGCAGTAATTACAAAAATAATAAGTTAACGAGTTTGAAATTAAAGATTAATAAACCAAATTTCCAATAATACAAATATAATTAACCTCGACGTCAAGCTAGGCCTTAGGTTTCCAAGTGATCATCACTGTTTCTGCTCTTGTCAATGGTGTAAGTTAGACTATAAACATGAAGACATGCACCGAGCAATTCAAGAACCTACTGCATATATATATATGTGTGTGTGTGTGTGTGTAATATATACATGCTTCCTCATAGTTGATTTTTCTTTTACTGATGGCTGCATAGTCTCTTGACCACCAAATACTGGCCCATAAAGTTGGCTAGCAGATTCAGATTAGCTGTCTAGCTAGATTAATTCTTTTTAGTAGGAATTTCCAATTTGACAGCCTCATGATCGTCTGATGTAATTTACTAGAACCCTCATGGTGATTCATGTTCATATGATTATTTACATGTATTGTATAAATATTTTGAAATGCTAACTATATATTTACATGTGTATGACTTATTTTCCATTAGTCTAACCTTTAATTAGGCAAATATAGAATTTCAATTCAGAAAGAAAAAACTAATATTTATCCGGAATTTCCTGTATTATATATTAGGTATGAGTTTTATTATTATTGGAGTCGGTCACATGGGAATTATTACCACACACAAAAATTTATAACTACATGATTTATATATAAGGCCCATATATCATCACGTACAATTTAGCATGCCAAAAATTTATTAATGATCGACGACGACGATATAAATAAGGCAGTACTGATGATCATGACGGTGATAATAATTTTACATGATCATCAGTAATTGCTATTCAAGTAGATGTCCCAACTACTTGTTTTACTGCACCATCATTTGGTTTCCACACCCATATAGAATTAACCAAGAAAATTTATAATAACAATAAAATTAATATTTAGTGTATATTTGTTCATATGTATATCAAATTAATATATGTATATGTATACACAGAGACAAATCCACCTTGGAAAAGTCACAACGGGTAATGCAAGTCATTATCACCAATTGATCATCAGTTTTGTGCAGTGAACAAGAGAGAGAGACTTGAACCATGAAAATTTTAATTAGATCTGGCCCCATGCAATTACTACCTTGCCATGTGAGATGAGTACATAATATTAAATAACAAAATTTTCCCAAAAAAAAAAAAATTAAAATCCCAAATGGATCAATATTTTTCTTATATGCCCTATAAAATCAAGTAAAATATTTGCATATATATATATATATATATAGAGCTAGGTAGTAGCTAACAAGTTGAGCTTCAAAACAATGAAAAGGGTACTTGAGTGTCATGTGAGAGAGAGTTAACATATGCTATACTCTCTCTGATCAAAATTAATTTCACACTCTCCATTTATTTCACTGCCCATCTCGTCTCTCCTTCTTCATCATCTACATACATACATATCCTCTTTCTCTCTCCCTTCATCTCTTTCTCATAACTTCTCCATTTTGGTGTTGCAATACATATATATTTATATATATATATATATTATATAAAGAGCAACGTTAAGTAGATTATATATCTAGGTGGTGTGTGGTGTAAGTGATTGTAGTAGCAGATGGGTCGATCCCCGTGCTGTGACAAAGTGGGTTTGAAGAAAGGGCCATGGACACCTGAAGAAGATCAGAAGCTGTTAGCTTACATCGAAGAACATGGCCACGGAAGCTGGCGAGCCTTGCCTGCCAAAGCTGGTGATCGTCATTTACCCTTATACCCACTTCATTATTTTGTTATTTAGCTTATAAAAATACTTACTTTCTGGTGATTATATATATATATATATATATAGGTCTTCAAAGATGTGGAAAAAGTTGCAGGCTTAGATGGACTAATTACCTAAGACCTGATATTAAAAGGGGAAAATTCAGTTTGCAGGAAGAACAGACTATAATTCAACTTCATGCCCTCTTGGGTAACAGGTATAATTTCTCTTGGTTCCTTTCAGAAAATGGGAATGTGATTGTATTTTACTTCAGTATATAATTTTGTAAAATCCCGTCCAATTAGTTTTTTCCATGACTTTTAATTTCTATATATACATATATATATATATATATGAATTATATGAAGATGTTAGACTTGGTCTTCTTTAATTTTTCTACCTTCTCCCTCAAGAATATATAATACTATTTCTAATTAGTGATGATCTTAGTCTTCAGCTGGAAAAAAATACTAATTCCCTCCCTTATTTGTAAAACAAACCCAATGTTTTAGATTAATTAATTAATAACCTCTAGATAGCAAGTACTTTCAACTGATTGCTTCTAATCCACTGCCTACAAAAATTAATTAACTTCCAAACTATAGTTTCTATTTATTTTAAATTTTGACCCACATTACTCTGAAATAATGTCTGACATCCGGCTTCTTTATTAGGATGGTACTCTAACTAAATGCAACAGGATCTTGATTTTTTCCTTCAAAACAAAATATTTTCTTCTTGTTTTGTGTTTCTTTTCTTGAACTTTGTCCAAAATTAGAGTCGGGTTCTAATAATTTATTTATTTTTTGCAATTGTGATAGGAAAATTAACAGTGTGTGGTTTCTGGCAATTGATGGTTTCTAGAGCTTGATTTTATAGTTTCTATGTTGTGTTATTATGAATAGGTGGTCGGCTATTGCGACTCACTTGCCAAAAAGAACAGATAATGAGATCAAGAATTACTGGAATACGCATCTCAAGAAAAGGTTAGCCAAAATGGGAATAGATCCGGTCACCCACAAGCCCAAAAACGAAGCCTTACTCTCAAGTGATGGTCAGTCCAAGAATGCAGCCAATCTTAGCCACATGGCTCAATGGGAAAGCGCCCGGCTCGAAGCCGAGGCCAGACTGGTTCGAGAATCAAAGCTTCGCTCGCAGTCCTCGTTTCACCAGCACCACCACCATAGCAACTACAATCATCATCTTGTTCAGCTCAACAACAATAATCCTACTCCTGGTAATACTACTACTTACTCTTCTTCCTCGTCTTCTCATCAGCTCGTGAACAAGACAGCCTGGAATGGAAGCAACAATATTGATCTTGAGTCTCCAACGTCGACACTTACCTTTTCCGAGAACAATGCACCGGGGGCTTTGACCGCTGGGATAGGTCTCAGTTCATCTCCAATTCCCATGATTGAGTTTGTCGGCACATCGTCCGGGTCGTCTGAAGCTGGCATTGTCAAGGAAGAAGGGGAACAAGTACATGACTGGAAAGGACTTACAAACTCCACTCACTTGTCTGAATACAAAGAGAGTATTGATCATAATTCTCTGTCTTTCACATCAACTACTCTTCATGATCTAACAATGTCCATGGACGGTCCATGGACCGCCGCTACCCCAGATCATCACCATCACCATCAGAGCCTAAGAACAAGCAGTACTAACAACTCGCCAATGGAGGAAGGATTCACCAATCTCTTGCTTAATGACTCCATTGATAAGAGCTTGTCAGCAGATGATAGCGGCAAAGACTCAGATCAGAACAGCCATGGAAGTGGAGGTGGTGGGAGTGATTACTATGAAGATAACAAGAATTACTGGAACAGCATTCTTAACTTGGTGAATTCGTCACCATCTGATTCACCCACCATGTTCTAATGAATCACTTAATGTTCAACATCAATTAATTCTTTTGCCTTTTGTTATTACTAAAAGGATTAATATTATTAGTAGGGAACTGAATGTGTTTGCTGCTTGCGGAGTTTTCTCTTTTAAAAAGTGTAGCATAAAGTTGATTTTCTCTAATTGTATCTTTCTCGCTGAAAGCAACAGATACAGCTTTGGTTGATTTGTGTCTATTTGATCTATCTCACCATTTGAAATGTTATATCATCTCAGACATCCTATCTACATATACACTCCCTAATTTCTCATGGCTGATTAATTTAGACTTTATCATCTTCTTATTTGACCCAGAAACCAACTCATATAGGTTTAGTTTTTACTAAATTAATCATGTTCGATATAACATGTATGTATATATGTAGAAACATGTTGAACAACGAAACTCATATAAAGCTTGAAGTCAATCAATATTAATTGATTACTTAGAAATTTAGCCTCTTGTTTAGTAATTTTTATAATAAGGACAAAGTAAATAAACAGTAAGTTAATATTCGATGGTTTTGCTTAATAATTCGAGCATGCCGGAAAGTCATTGTGTCAGGTTACCTTTTAGTTTAGAGCAATATAAATGGTTGCAAGCTGGATATTTTGAAATCACATATATGTGTGTGTGCATATATATATATATATATGTTGTTTTATAGTTTGATGATGTACTTCCTTTGTTTTCTGTGTGTATCTTAATTTTCTTCAACCCGTAACTTGTCGTTCCTGTAAAAAGAAGTAGAGCTTGTCATGGCTTAAAGATATGGGTCTGATTGAGGAAACTGATTGCCAAAATTGTTGGTATGATGTGAATGAATTGTCCACAAGTAATATCCTTTTATATTTACAACTTTATTATATATCTGTATATGTATATATATCCAATGAGATATGTATTTATGACAGACTTTATTGCTGGTAGTTTCACGTCACATTCTGCTTACAACCCAATTGCTTTGGTCCCGATTATACTCAAATGAACCAAAACCAGAAAAATAAAAATACTCAAAAATTTTGACCCTTTCTTTAAAAGATATTTCACAACTTAAATCATCAAAAAGGAAAATGAAACGATCTAAATAGTAAAATATAATTCATGTGAAGGCACGAGTTCGAAAAAAAATGAAGATTATCTCATTATGTGTATTGACAGGTATATAATTATAAATTTTACATGACATCATAGAAACTTATCAATTATGTATTCCAACTTTTAGAATCAGAAGCAAACCCGAGTGTATATCAATTCTACATGCATCCTTTCTGAGACCTTCTCATATGACTAAGTATTAGATTGTATCCTATTAAACCTTCCGAATTCAATGTTAAGAGGGAGAGAGGTCTAGGGATGACCTTGTTTGATTTGT